CCCCTACACAGCTTACAGAGGCCCTTCCAAGCAAATGCTCCATGGCAGTGGTGCATGCAGCATCTTTTACCCATATTCCCCTGCAAAATTCCACACACAAGCTCACGGACAGAGCATTTGTTCACACAATCAATGTATTGACATCTGTGCACAGGCTGGAGCTCCCAGAGGTAATGAAGCGTCTCCAAGATTTTGAGTGGTCACTGCCTGCATGTTAACAACTCTCTGTTGCAAGCTTCTGCGCAACATCATCTTCAGTACAAAGTCAGGTTCCCCAGAATGTGGTCTGGCAGTGGATAAAATGTGTGGGAACAATACCCACTGCATGTGGAGCAGCATCTGCTGTGTGTCCAGTAGGTTCAGTCTGGGGTCACCAGCATTAAGGGGATGCTGGGATGGGGAGCTTCTCCACCTTGACCTGGGCAGGCACACCAAGGCAGTGGTGTGCAGTAACTCTTGCTTGGTCCTGCACAGCCACAGCTGAGAGAGGGCCAAGGGAAGGAGAAAGTATTGTTTAAGATCTGGATGTAGGAATGCCATTTGGAAATTCAGCTATTTAAAGTTTCTTTTACAACAAACTTACACTTTTACACGTAATGTTGTTCCCAAACAATAAGAAGGTCTGAAATACCAGCAGGTTCATCAGCTCCTACCACCTACATTAGATTCCATCTCCCTTTACTGGTAGCAAGACGAAAACAGAAGTTTCATATGCATTTTAATATACAAAAAGGAAATCAAAGATGAGGAAGGATTGAAGAACTCTGGTTAAGAGGCAAGGTGGAGGTTGCTTCTGCTCATCCTGGTACTAATTCTAATCCACACTTCTTTAAAAAAAAAAAAAGGATCATGTATTACATAGCTAAAGCAGAATGTGTCTATTAGAAGAGGAACACACAGGAACCAAACATTCCCCTCAAACAAGCACCATCTCTCTGCCATTCATTTCAGAGAGAGTAATGTCCTCTGGAAAAAGAAGTAAAAGCATAAGGCTTGCTGTCCAACACTGCATTTACATTGTGAAACAATGAGAACCTGACAGTGACAGGAAAGAAGTAGCAGTTTTAGCCCAATTCAGCAAAATCATCTGCTGACATATTGAAAGAAACCTGCCTGTTAAAAAAATCAATAGATTTTTAATCAAGAAAATTACCCTCACACTCTTTCCCCCCCTGAACTATTTAACAAGAAACATTCTAGGCTCTCCTTTTACTACTTCTAAAGTTTCAAACTATAAGGAAAAGAAGCAAATCAGGTTGAGAATTATAGTCCTTTTGCCTCTTGTGAGGGGTTTTCCTATTTGCAGAAATTTCCCCTCCTCTAAAATTATCTGTGCATTGAAGACTTGGGGTAAAAAGCATTTATTAGCCTCAACATTTAACTACAAACCTTCTGGCCTGACTCATGTCACTGCTGCCTCTGTGTTGTCTTTTCACTGCAGATCTACATAAGCTGACAGGAAGGAGCAATGGTTTTCTAAATCCGAACAAGCATTCAAAGAATCAAAAAAAAAAAAAAACCCTTGTCTGTAACAGTCGAACAGTAAGTGGAAAAAAACGGAGAGAAGTTCCATATCACAATGTCTTGCAGGCTCCAGTAAAAGCAGTGCTTCTTATAAAAGCAAGGAGTTAATTGGATCATTTTCCCTGATATCTCTATGGAGGAAATCCAGCTCAGTACTTATTGGAAGGATTTTAAGTTCTGATAGTACTTCTGCAGCAGGGACTATAGAGTGGAGCAAGGCGGTTCAATTTTACTACGCACCATGGAACATTAGGCCACAAAAAGAATATCTCAGTCCAATTTTCCACCCTTTCTGAACATTATATCATTTAGGCTTCAAAGATTGTCACTGCAAATGCAAAAGAACAAAACAAAATAAACAAACAAAAACAAAACCAAACCAGGCAGTTCTAAGTTCAACATCTAAGTACCAATTCTTTGTCTCTACTATGCATTCAAAACCAGCTCCAGGATGTCATGCTTATAGCACCACACAAGCTAAAAACAATTCTCTCTCTAGTTTATAGAGCAGAAATGGCTTCAGCCCCTCATACACTGCCTGGTTGTTAGGGCAAGGGTGCAGAAAATTAAGTTTCTCTAATGCAAATCTTTGCTTTTGTTTTTTTTGGGGGTGTTTTGTTGTTTTTTTTTGAGGACACATACATTGTCTCTAAATCTGCTTCTAAAGCAAGGAACTGCAAATTCCAAGCCTGGATTTTGCTTCAGATATCATCCCTATTGCCATAATTATCCTGCTAAACTTCAGCTTTCATTTAGCAAAAGATGTCTCCCTAAGCACACATACAAACAGAGAGGAACTTGGAAACGTAACCCAGGTGCAAACTCATGAAGTCTTAACTGAAGAGGCTGCAAACAACCTGAAACTACAGTCAAGAGGGATAAACATCCCCATTCACTTCTCTCAAGAGAATCATGCTACGTAATAATTTCTCACGGACTTCAAGATTTTGCTACAGCCAGGTATTTTAGTTTCCTTCCCCTTTCCTGCTCTGTCACAACCAGCCTGCAAGTCCTTTATATTCTTCAGTTTTCTATCAGCAATGAGTCTGCTACAGTAGGTGCAGGAACAAGAACTGCTATGAAATGCTAACTAGCTCTAGTACTTTCTCATGGGAGTCAGAAGTAGGATGACAAAAGTAAAGCTCAGAAGTTTAAACCCAGAATTAGGAGATAGGCATTTTAAGCTAGTGTGACTGTCCAGAATTGCACCTCTTCAGGTTACCCTGTAGGATAAAACTCTTTGGTTTTATGAATGGAATGAGATTTATAGATTCATTTAGATCACAAAGTCTATTATTATTATCAGCAAGTTTTATACCTCTGTAACTTCACTAAAGAAATCCCATTTTTTCTAGGTGTCTTTCCTCTACTAGAGGTAATACTAAAGGTATTTCATTAAGAAGCATTTGTATTCTTCCTTCTGGTTCACAAGTCAACAGTGAAAACCACACATAAAGTTCAGGTGGACACATCAAGGAGCTGAGCTGTGGGTGGTCACTGTTACATTTTCATGATCTTTCTGTTAAGCACATAAGGGACACAAGTACATACAGTAACCATGCAAGAGCAAAATGCATGAGAAAGAAGAGAACCATCAAGAAAGAGGCCACTATCTGACATTTTAAAAGGGCAAATCGAAAGCAATCAACACCCAACAAAATGTTCAGTGTGGAATGAGGTGATAGCTTAGGATACACTTAGGATACAGTAATGAGGCTAAGAAGTGCTGTGTGTTTTAATGTAAATTAACACAAGATAATCTCTTCACACATTTAAGTGATGCACTTCAAATTAATTAATACATATTTAATAGAAGTCTTCTTGAACAGCTGTTATTTACTTCTGGAGTTTCTACACATTAGTGCTGCCTTCTTTGTTCTGCTCTGAAGTTATTCATGCTCCAAAGTACTTTAAGAACTCGGGCTGTATAAAAATTGAACACTCTTCCCAAAAGAGACAGCCTTTCTGATAACTTCATATTTTTTACATTAAACATTCAAACAGTTTCCGAACAAAAGGTCAAATTCTACTTACAGCATCTGTGTGAAACAAGCAAGCAGATGCTTAATGCTGCCAGACAAATACTTTCAGCACAAAGAATGATAGAGAGCTGGAGATCAATCACATTCCCAGGCTTTAAAGTCGGCTTTCCTATGCTTGTGGTCCCTACATTTTGCACTTACACTTTATCTGTAATAACACAGGTCCAACTCACAGCCTGTCCTCTAAGTGTTAAAAGTGTGAAATGAAGTACTGACAGTGAAAGGACTGCCTGTAGTACTAAGATGTTGTGAATATGACACAAATACACTAGGCTTTCATCATACAAAGACCATGCACAGCAGTACTTCTGTGCTATATGCGAGGTCTAAACAAAGTAGTTCTCACCTTTTAGGAAGGAAAAGTCTCTAAAAGTCACAATTGCTTCTGGTTTTTAAGACAAGAATGAGTACAAGCCAACTCAACGTGGTGGTAGCACGTTATATTTTCATACAGTAATTAATGTGACTTTTGGCAACTGCATTCCATTCCTCACATATAATTATCACTGAACAGTAATACTGCTCATAGTTTTCACCTGACTACATGCAAGTGTTTACTCTGCTCACATCAGCCTTCCTAGCTTACGAGTTTACTGAAAATAACTTCTGAGGTTATTAACAACAGAAAATATTTTTTAGTCCAAACACCACTAAATCTTCTGTGAAACAGTGAAAACTGTGAAAACCCTAACAGCCCTTAATACAGAAAGGTGAAAGTGTGCTAATCTAAGCATACTGATATTACTAAGACCTAAGTTATTTTATTTAGCATGATAGTTCTCCACAATAAAGAGGGCACAGGATGGAACTCAAACAACTTAGATGTTAAATGAGATCATTGACTGATCTGATAAATACCTCAGAATATGCTGAGAGTGAATGAGTGTGTGGAGAAAAAAATTTAGAAAGCATTTCCACGACCCTCAACTATTTGTGCACTGCCTACACCAGCAGCTAGGAGAGAGAGCTGGAGGTGACTGAGGATGACCTCAGCTTTTTTTTTTCCTTCATTGTTTTTTCCCTTAATTTTACTTCTTGCAAGTGGCTCGTCCATGAATGCTCCTTCTTTTATGACAAGTAGTTCTGATGGAAGTCCAAACACTCAGCAGATTAAATTGCCTGTGTAAATTTGGACTCAAGAAGCAGTGCCACTCACAATAAAGATGCCCTTAGAAGAATTTCTGTGCATTGAAACTTTGTCAGCATACTTACGAGGAAAATGGAGATAAGCAGAAGAATGCCAAGGCTGCCATAGGGGCTAAACAATCTCTTCTCTAGAGGTCAGCTCACCACAGTTATTTGTCTGCTTTTGATGGGAGGTATGTGGGAGACAGACTAGTCCAGAAAAAAGGAACCTGAGGAGAAGATAATCTCATGCTGTGATGTTTTGGAATCACTATTCTATTAATGAAGCTAAGATTCCTGAAAATCTCTTTTGCCTCTTGAAGGAGAATGTATCTTTTGTTCAGAGAAGTATGGGAGCTCTGCCAGCTGACAGAAAAAAAACATACGTTTGTATACTTGCTTTGATATGTACAATATAACTTGCATAAGCATTGGCAGAATCCTGATGCATAGATGTCAAGGAAAGAGAGAGATCCCAGAGGGCAAACGTAGCTCACAGTCCCAAGGAATGAAAACATATGTCCACAGGTTATACAGCTGTGACACAACAGGTATCCTTTGTTGTTGTTGTTTTTAAAAAACTTCCTTAGAGCTAAAAGATCAAATTCAAGGGGAGTCTTACAGTATACAGTTAGTCTGTCACATTTTCCCTCTACGTTTTACAGCAAAAATGAAAATCTGTGTTTACCTGTCAGTTCTGGTAGAAATGATTCCATCATAATTACACCTTGTGTGCTGGAAGGAACCTGGCAGTTTGTAATGTCACTAATGCTAGTCTGAAGAGGTACAAAGTTGTAGGAGCTTGCTGAAAAATAAGACTTTATTAAAATTTCCAATTTTTTGCAAAGCATTTTGACTAAATTCCAACACTACTTAAAATGTAATTAAATATTTACATTTATTCTCTAATAAGTATTGTAGGTAAATCAATTTCCCAATTATCTTAAATTTTTGTATGGTATACAATTACTACATTTTTGTAATAAATGCACAATTCTAATGAAAAAATAATGATCTTGAACTTTAATAGAGCCCTTCATTTGAAGAGATGAAAGTGCTGTACGTTCATCCATTCATTATGTCTTACAACCCCCCTGTGATGTAGGTACTATTATCATCATTTTACAGATGGGGAAACTGAAAGGCTAATTAACTTGTCCAATTTACAATACTGTTAGCTGTAAACTTAGGGTGTCCTATTGTATTAACATGCAAAACAAAACTCAGCTCATCCTGCAATCCGTAAGCACTTTACTTATAGGAGAGAATATGCTACACACATTTGGAGAGCTGGTTTTGTCTTGGCGATGGCTTTGAGTGCCACAGAAAAAAAAGGTCTAGAAACAAAGACCATAGCACCAGTTCATTGTAAAGTGCCACTATGTTCCACAGCTAGTTGCAGAGATGATGTGCGTTTTCATTTAAAGTTATCAGCCATTCAAGTGCACATTTGTGCTTTAATTCTGTATATTTCACACTGCATTTATGTACACAAACAGGAAAATAGTGCTTGCTGACTAACTCATTCTCTCAGTTTACTTATATGCTCCATAAATTTCTTCACTCTGTCAGGATCAACACCATTCGCCCAATAACCTTCTCTCTTGAAATACGAACCAATTATTAGAGCATTTGCATCCAAGTAATTCTTCACATTCTCCAGAGTAACTCCAGATCCAATCAAAACAGGAATCTTCACAGCATGTTGAACCTCTGAAGTGGGGAAAAAAAAAAAAAATAGGATTAAATCCTCTGGGATTTAAATCCATCTTTAAAATTCTGTAAAAACAATGTGCTCTAACTTATGCAGAGTTTCAACAGCAAAGGAAGGCAAGTCTTAAGAAATTTGTAAGCATGCATCTCTTGCTTCTACAATTGTGATACAGACGTTCTAGAGAAAAACAACCAACACTTTTAGCTCTCAATAACTGTTAAGAAAATCCCTCTTTCAAAGAATATCCTGAGTTGGAAGGGACCCACAAGCATCGTCAAGTCCGACATAATATTCCTGACCACATATCAGAGGAGTGTTTCAGCACTACAGAACACATGAAAGCTGTGTCTCAACACTGAACACGTACACTCCTTTCCCTCCCCCCTCCCACCCTCCAAGAAAAAAGATTCAAGTAAGATTAAGGAAAATTGGTTGGCTGAGAGTGCAGTGCATTTTACTGTATTCCATCACATTCATTTTTATTTCTTGTCCCTGGTAAGAAGAGGTGTTGGATTGAGGAAGGTTTTGCAAAGCAGAAACTAACCCATCTACTTAGCATGTCTGTTTGCCATTGTGCTTGGAGGCTCAATGCACTTGAGGTACTACACATAGATGGAAAACAGCAATCATTTAATATTGCACTGCAGTAACATGTAGGATAGATACCATTTTCCCCCAGTCTTTCTATGAAGTAATCAGAACACAGCTACAAGAATAAGATGAAATTCTTGTTTCCATTTATTATATCAGCTCAGACTTTTGTGAGTCTGGTGAGATCATTAAAAGTGGCAGAACTATTCAGTAGAGCTGTGCTCATTACAATTCTTCAGTCATCAGTTTAAATCACAATAATGGTAGTTAGACTGGTGTATATTTCTGCCAGGTTTCTGCTGAATTTATGCTATGTTGACAACTAGCAGAAGTTCTTCACTGAAGAAACAAAAAAGGCCTTATTCACAGGGAAAGAAAAATGAACATGCTCTCTGCTTCTTGCTAAGTTTCAGGGTCATGAAAGTAGGAAAGCAAGCAGCAATAGGCTACACTGATACCTCCAGCTAGCTCACCAGAACACAAAAGATGGCACTGATATGACTTTTCTTCCTGTAAATGGCAATGAAATGAAAAATACACTTTTCTGCATTCAGCATGTGCTACTGTTTTGGCCATGGAAAGGTTCTCTGTGGACACATAAAAGTTCATGAGAGTATTTTCTTCAGAACTCAACCCAGTACTAGCTCTGGAAAAAATAAATAAATAAAAACAAAAGCCCCAGTGCTAGAATTACTGGGCATCCTGCTCATCCTCTCATTTTGAACTGACCATCCTAAGAGTCACTCAAGACTGGATGCTTCCTCCCTTGCCTAGGAGAGTGCTGCGAAGCATTATTTCTGATCTTTAAAAAGATAAATTGCTTTAATTGGTGCTAATAAGCTGACGTAAGATGGTTAAAGCTCGAGGGAACTAGGAACAGCATATATGTAACAAAAAAAGTCTGCTTCAAAACACTGTTTATTTAAATAAAGTTTCATCAGAAGCCTAACTTATTAATGATGCTTCAGGGAAAAATAATTATGTGTCACCTTTCTACTTCACCAAAGAAAGGGGATCAATTAAAATGCTCCTGAATCTCTTTTTAGGTCTCATACCCTACTATTTTCCCACCTAGGAACAGTAACTGCTTCTTACAAAATTTTTTTTAACATAAAAGAAGAAAATCCACACAACCTCTATTGAAAATTTTAAGCAAAGCAAGATAGTGCATATATGATTAAACTGATGCCTATTTTTTCACATATTTTATATTTCTAAATTCATCCTCCTTACAGCAATGAAATAATTCATTTTTTGTTATTTACAACATTATTAATGAAATCCTATTCTAGAAAAAAATAGAATTCTGTGTATATAGTATCTCTGTGCTCTTGGAAATAGTCGATCTGGTCTATGTAGATATCAATGCATAATTAAGGTGCTACAACTGACCACAGATTCGTACAACAGCTTTACTGCATTCCCAGAGGAACGACATTCCAAGTCAATATTTGTTTTTAAGACAAATGCATAAGATACATTAGTAGGCAGTTGCTCTACTTATTTCACATCAGCAGGAAAAATGAAGAGCCAAATAATTAAACAGAGCACGATCCCATGGGTGTATGACAATAGCTCTGCCCTAACAGACAAAGACTTGAACAGCAGAACCTAAGATTGCTGTGAAACTATAAGAAAATAACTAAATAATGAAGCTTTCATAAGTAGCAAGGTATGCGGCTCCTGCTGTGATCCATGCATGGCACATGCAGCCCACACTCAACTCTTGTGCTGGAGATTTATTCAGACTGTCAACGTGAAGAACAGTAATGGGAGTGCCCACTCTACAATGAGACTGGGTTATCTAATTAAATATGCTACAGATACTACTTTTAAGTCATTTCCAAGCATATCAAGGCCTAAAATTGATGAATAGAACATGACTTGTCTACTGGCTGTGTTAATACAAATTCTAACTTGTAAAAGAAAATAAAGCAGCAGTGGTGAGATATGCTTCCGCATGGTGATGTTCAGTCACTGTCAAGATGTCTCTAAACACAGAGCCTTGTTTAAAGGCTTCTTCAGCTTTCTTCTCCTGATGATATTGTTTGATGCAAACAGGAAGGGAAACAATTTTCTGATGTTAAAGTAACAAGATCCTGAAGTTTACAGAACTCACACGTTTTTCTATTTCAATAAACTGTAACTAGAGGGCACTGTGCTCTTTCTTCTGACAGTGCATCTGCAGATATGTCTTCAATAAAATCAAATGAAATAGTGCTTGGTTGCAGAGCACAATGAAAGCATTTGAACTATGGTGTGCACAAGTTACATGAAATAAAGGCCAAATGCTTCTAGCTTGAAAACAATGGCAAAGAGCGGCGTAAAAATAAGTACCACTGTGGTAATAACTTGCTCCACTACTCTTCTTTAACAGCTTTTTCATATGCAGTAATCACTGTACCGTACACAACACTATGTTTATGGTAATGTTCCACTGTAACCCATTTTAGTTTTTTAATTCAAAGGACTTTTTCTTTGTCATTAAATTTCGGGATTATGAAAAGTACAGACCAGAGACTTGCATCTCCTGATTATCTATAGGAGGGTCCTGCAAAGGCAGCAGCCTCTATTTTGACCTAAACAGCCCATTAAAAGGCAGGAGGATGAATCGGTTTTGACGCCCCTTCTATGAACACTAACAGATGAGGTAACGGAGCCAGCTGCTGGGATTTGTGATATTTTCCACCAGTTGCTCAGCTGAGGCCATTTACTTTGTTCATACAGATTCCTAAGCAGTCCTTATGCAAAGGCTTTGGTCACTCAAATCACAAGCTGGATTTCAACCAGGTACTTCAGCATTTTCCCAGCGGGAAAACCTGACAGCCTGTGGCTGGGAGTAGCACCACAGGTGCCTTCAGGAAGGCAGCGAGAGAAACTACAAACAAAACCCTGCCGAACACATTTCTCTGGCTTGACAGAGAAACACTCATTTCCCACATCCCATCACAAGTCAGTCAATTCAACACACAGACACAAAGGCAAAAACACTTCTATATTACTGCACAACAAAGCAGAGAGAAAAAAAAAACGTGACAAAACCTCATCTGTCTCTTGGTTTGTCTTTCAAGAGTTGCTTTGCAGCATGATGAAAGGTGCCCAGCTGTATGATCGCAGTACGGCTCATCCAGTGCCGCATACATTCGTGAGCTGCCGAATTTCACTCACATCACACCAACTTTGTATAACGTACAAGTGATTCCTTTTAAGAATATACTGACACAGATATGCCTAATTTGTCATTTCCTCACACTCCTGAGTGTTGATTTTTAAGCTCTTCTCTTAACTGTTTTAAGCCACTGTTCTCCTGAGTGGCGCAGATAATGCCTGAATTCTGTGGCCTAAGTAAACCAAACCCATGATCCAGGTTCTTGCCTTCACTACACACATAAAAAATCGATGTGTGCACATCATTACTGCTGACAACTCTGATTCATTTTGTTCTTCGGACTCAGAAAGGGAACAAGACTGTGACTGGCACACTGGTTCACATGAAAGAAAAGCAGTGGTGAGGCCTGCTTGGAGTCCTGCCTGAGAGCAGCCTGCGGGCCTGCAGGTCATCTGGCGCTCTCCAGTGCAGGAAATCAAAGGAGGTTGCACATGCATGCTGGAAAGCAGAACTTAAGCTACTATTCTGCCCTGAGACTTGTTGGCTTTTATTTACTTATTTTAATGTAATTTGCATTGAGAAATAGGGATATACAGTGATATGCATTGCAGGAGGAGATGGATCTTTAAATTAACAATATTTTGCAGTCTCTTCCAGTCTTTTTCTCTTGCAGCCTAGCTTTGTTCTATGAATCACTTCCAGTTCACCATACCAAACACTCAAACGAATTCAAGAGCTCTGTATTCACTACAAACCATCATTTTCATTTTAACATTGGTGATTGAAGTATAGTCATCTATCATCTGTTCTTTGGCAAAAAAGTTGTGTTTTAAACATATGTGAAATAAGCAAAACATTTTGACAAGTTCAACATTCATTCTGAATGCTGATAAGCACATACAATATGGATAAAGCCCTGAAAACATGGAATGATATTAAATTACTCCAAGAGATGTTTGGGGTGCTGCCTCTATACCAAGTAGAGCATGTTATTCACCTCCTTTGTAAAATAAAGAAGGAATTGTGATTGAATGGTTTAGATAAGAACACACTTTAAAAAGCAGAGATCATACCGCTATCTTTCTTCATGAAAAAAATATTTTGCCAAAAGATACTATCATTTAACTTCAACCAAACATGCAGTAATTATTTCTGCATATTGATCCCCCAGTATGACTGCAACTTGAAACAAAAATTGTTCATAGTAGTCCAATAGAGCTTGTGATTTGTCTATACAAGAAGTGATACTTCCTTTGGCTTCATTTCAGCAAGCATGTTTTAAGAATTTGAGGTTAGACAAATAGACATACTTTCATGCACATTCACTGAGCTTAGAGTTCACCTTGATAGACTGAGCTGAACGCACTGGCACTTCAAAACACGCTAGATTGTTTTGTGCCAGCAGAAGTAAAACCTAAAAACATTCTACATTCTATTTTATGTAGACAGGCCTTGACATTCAAGCCATGAAACTAAATTGAAATTTAGTGATGAAAATTTGAATTTTCATGATAGCATGTAAACAATCAAGTTTGATGACTTTGATGTCATATCTTTCTTTGTACCAACAAACTTACAATTTTTTTTTTTAAAACCTTCTAAGTAGTGTTTTCCCTGCTATTACTGTGTGGAATGGTGCCATATCATAATAACCCTTTTCTTGCAGGACTTTCATTTTCTTTCCGAAAAATATAAATCTTTCCACTAAAGAGTTGAGCACTTTTAGTTAGCTATTTTTATTAGGTCTATGAAATTGCTTTTTCTTATACTAAGATACTAAAAAGTATCAATTTCTAAAACAAAGTCTTCACATACATTTGCTTTGTTTATTTTAAAGTAATACTAAGTATCATTCAGTATTATAAAGGCTCAAAATAATTTTTGTCCCATCAAACAGTTGATTAGAAACGTACAACAGACAATCCACATAGAACCTCAGTCACATCGGTTTTGCTTTATCCAATCAAACTCTGCAATGAAAGAACATTCTTCTTCCTTTTTTTTTCTCCTTAAGGAACAGCAGATACAGAGACGTACAGCCAGAAGCTGACTCGGGTCCTGCTGCATGCCCCTGGTGTGTCTGCTCACCTCTCAGCTCCCCAGGGTCTGCGGGCAGCCCGGTTGCCGTGCCAGTCAGTACCACCCCGTCAGCCAGGAAGAGCTCAGCAGCAGAGGCGGTCTCAGCCACGCTGATATCTGCCGTCAGAGCATGAGCACTGTCAATAGCAGGAACATACCCCGTGGTTACTTTCAGCACACACATATTGAGCAATGTTTATTTAGACTGCATTTTTTCATTTTCCTCACTATCAGACCCAACCTTATCCATCACAGAGCCATAACTGCTCAATCCATTGCTCTTGGTCTTCTGTCTCTAAAGTGCGATTGCTAAGGGTGAACTACCAAGTGTCAATGCAGACAGCTGTGTGCATGTCGAGCACTTGTATCTCACACACAGCTCTGGCTTCAACTGGGAGCAGTGGATGGTTCAGTCATTCATAAATCACGTTCTGTTACCTAGAATGGAATTAACACCCTTCACTTCATTTCACGAAGTCCAACCAACAGAAGTATAGTTATTACCTATAACATAATCACAGGAATCACCTTACATAGCAATTACAAACATAAATTACCTGCAACCTAGCTTTTCAACAGCAGCTTTTGATATATGGGTGATACGCTTTGAAACCTGTAGCAATAGTAATTTAATTTAAACAATTCTAAAGTTTGAAAGACTTCCAGTCTTCGCTGGTTCAACATCTGACTTTGCTTTCTGCTTAATTGAAAATACAGAAGCAACAATAGCTATGGTCAACCCATTGCACTGATGAGGTGTGACAGTCTGCCTCTTTCCTGGGTCAGTGTGGATGGACTTGGATCCCTGCTTTGTCCTACAGTAAGAGGAAGAATGCACTGACTGCAGTGCTTTTCACTAGTGATGATGGTGCAAGACAAAGCACTCCCTTTATGTAGCTGCAGGAAGGCAGGCCTAAGTCCCTACTACATAAGTGAGTTGGAAATGGGGCTCTTAACATAGTCTCAGCTTTGGAATCTCCTTGAAGCAAAAACCTTCCACTTCAAAAAGCAAATCCTTTCACCTACAAAGTATAATTGAAATATCAGTGTATCAATTGACAAGACAAAGGAAAGAACACATGATACAATCATCAATTTTTATGAAGAAGTCTAATGCAGTGTATTTTATATATATACACACATATATAAAAGAATTTAAGTCATTAGAAAGAAACCAACCTGAAAGGACCTTAGAAGTTTAATGTTATCATAATGCATTGTTTCTTTACCTATCTTGAAAGTTATTAAAAAAAAAAAAAAAAAAAACAACACAAAAACACAGATATTTAAGATCTTCCAAACATGATTGTTTTCATGATTACCTACGTACTACACACAAACATTTTAATTAGGTTATTTAGCATGTATAATACATAACATTTGAGCAGTTCTTCAGGAAAAGAAAAGTGACATATAAATAGCTAAAAATACTGTGTGACAGTTAAGATAACAGCAAAAAAGAAACTGGGTTCATCTGTCAAAAGTTCCTTCTGTTTGATAATCATAGAACATAATCCGTACATAGACAGCACTGATTTAAGTAGAAGAAACCAGTACTATTGGCAGCCAGGAGAAAAAAGAGAATAGCTTTCTAAAGTGCCAGAATATTATGATTTGGATCCTTTGTATGTGGAAACTGCTGCATTACTAAAAATAACCTTGGATGCTTAGCCTCCCGAAACATAATTTCTTTAAGCGTAATAGGCATATAAGAATGTAAAATCTCACCTGACACCAGATGTGAGACATTTACAGTCTGCATTTATAAATCCTGAAGGTTAAACTACAAACTTCACAGATGCGGCAACCTGCGGCTTACAGGTGCAAATTTATTTTTAAACATATCCCCTAATAGCACTGCAAGACCTTGCTCAAACAATAAAGTTCTCCCTTTATCATTAACTTTGCTGGCATTGAGCAGATATAAAATAATCAGAAAATGGAGAAAAACATAAGATCATTATTACATTAATATTTACATAAATATTGCTTGTGTTTACCTGTGTTTTTTTTTAATGTCAGCAAAAATCTGAATATTCTCTGCTCCAATTAGTTTTCTGTATCGTAGCAGGTTACCTGCACAGGCATTTATGATCCCTTCATCAGCAACATGAGAAAACACAAAACCTTCAACTCGGATAAAATCAAGACCTGAAAAAAGAAAAGAAAAAATTAGCATTCTCTTAACCAGACCTGAGGACTGAAGAACTAATACTAAAATATCTGTCTGTCGTTTGACCTCCACACAAGGCATTCCATGTTCTCTAGGACTAATCAATCTTGATTTCCCACATTTTTAAACTTTTGTACCCATGGCACAAACTCAGCAGCAGCACACCCTGCCCTGCTACTTGTGGTGATGTGCCAGCAGGCAAGTGTGAATGAAGGATAGGTAGGCCAAAACGTAGCTCCTATGCTGTAACAGTGCGGCTTCTCTCCAAAAAGGGCATTATCTTGGGTTGTGCCCCTCTGCCTAGATACCCCACCACTGTACTACTGCCTTCCCAACATCTGCTCCACTGTTAAATATGCCTGAAATTGGACAACAGGTCAAAAAACAACAAGGACATGGACAAAGAGAGGAGAATAGCCTATGTCTTCCTTCTTCAGGAAATCAGACAGGAAAACACAGCCTGCAATACATTATATACATTGACTCTCCACCTGAATGCAACTTACATCTTCTGAATGGTACCACATCAATGACTGACTTTTGGAGCTGGGCCAAAGGTACAGAAAGATTAAGTTTCCACTCCAAATTTACGGTGAGCATCAACTCTACCTTGTCTTAGCAACTCAGTGTCCAGCAGTCATCCATCCTTTGTATCAAGAAGCTTTTGGGCGATGGGTACTTCAGAGGAAGACTAAGAACAGAAATGATTTCGGTAGACCTTTTATCTACTACAAGGTACCGCTATAGAGCCTTGAAATACCCTTATGTTGACATACTGATGTATTCAGCCACAGCATAATGAATCCACAGCTGTTTTGCAAAAAATGACAATTCTGACTCCTTTATTGTATTCCCTTCCACAGCCTTGAAGCTTACTTCACACACACTTTAGGATGTGTAAATGCTCTGCAAACATCTTGTGCAGCTTTTGCTGTTCTTCCAGTTTGCTTTAGAGCTCCCTTCCAGGCTTTCTGAAGTTCTATTGATTCTCCAGCTTTGAGTCAGCTGCACATTTAAGTGGAGTGGACACATCGAGGAACTAAATGCATGTGAGAGCAGCCTTCAGGGACGCAATTCCATCTAACAGAGAACTATTTAGGCAATGAAGGCCTCACCTTAACACATTTCAGATGTAAACAGAAAGGGTCTTTAAAAATGTATTTACCAAATGACAAAGATCCTGTTTATTTTAAGGGCTAGATTTCAGCTTCATTCCAAAAGCCCTGAAGTTGCAGAAACAAAAGATTATGCCTGATGGAAAAGAGCCTGTATTGCTTAGCAACACATACTGCAGCTAACATGATCCATCACAGATGGTGCCAACTCAAATATAAGCTGTCCCATGCCTTGAGATTAGCAGGTGAGAAAGCATGGAGTATTCTCAGGATTCAAAAACACAAATATGTCACAAGTATAATTAAAGGTGCTAGTAGGTAAGACTGAGACTTGTGCATCTAGGAATATTAGCCATAGGCTTTATCTAAATCACCTAAGTTTGTAGTATAAATCAGACTTAAACAAGAAAAAAATAATTCTCCTCTAATCACAAGACTATCAATGAGCCTAGAAATCTAATAAATGTTCATAGCAATCATAATGGCTACCTCAGGGCAATGGCTATTCACTTACTGAAGCTCACCACTCGCATGTTTACCAATGTTTGGTTTGTGCTTCCCCTAACTTAAGAATTCAAGACTTCCTCGGCCAACATTAGGATTGTTCTTAGTTTAATGGAGTTGCACACTATTGGGGTTTTTGGAGGATAACAAGACACAATTTTTAACCAATTCTAGTAGACATCAACTCATTACCTGCCTGTTTTATAAAGACCTAATTGGATTCCACTAATGAATTCACTAAAACTGTGAAAATAGTACTATTTCTTATTTTCCCCTTAAGTAAGTCAAAAAGTAATATCTGCTAAATAGTTAAAAGGCAGTCTCATTTCTGACTTACACGGGAACAAAAAAAAATATCTTGTAATCTCACTGGAAAACAGGTACAGGAAATTTCCAACAGGACCTACCAAACAGAGCTTCAAGACTAAATTGAGAAGCAGCTCATTCCACAAGCAAGAGTTCCAGGCCTGGAAAACGCAGTGTCTCCAGCAGTGCCTTCAGCACATATTTCTCATCTCATCTCTGCAAAAGTTCCAGTGCTTGCTGCCTTGCCCTGCAGCACCCGCAGGTGACCCCAAATAAGCACTCACCTGCTGAACTTCAGTGTAGCTGTACTAGAATGGCATCAGTTGAAAAAAATATATAACTAAAAATCAGCATATTTTTCCAGCCAATTCTATCCTATCTTCAACAGTAACACTGGCCACACCTTCCTGTGGAGGATCTCTGCTGGTGGGTGGTTGCAAGAGAAGAGCAGTCTCAGACAGCAAAGCTGTATTTATAAAAGACCTGCAGTAGAAAAGATCTGGGTACCTGGAATATCTTCTGATATGAAGCCTCATTTAATCAGCTACCAACTGAGTCATTACCATTACTGAAGACTAATTAAGAAACAGTGACCGCGTGGGATTTCAGTAAAATGATTCTTAAAGAAAAAGGGCATTTTCACAGTCAGCTGGAGATGGCAGAAGATAAACTATTAGAAATTGAGTTCTCATTCATGAAGTGTAATGCGGGCTGATGCAGGTACATGGACACTACTGCACTGTATAGTAGGCCCTGCAGGCCGTGTCTGTCTCCATTAGCTTAACGATGGGCCAGTTCTGTCTTTCAATCACTACTCCTACATGTTTGTAATGGAAGCACACAGAATTGCAAAAGAATAAAGAGACTGTTATTGGTGTATACCCCCAGTATTGTAAAGGCTCTGTAACTCCTCTGCAAAGACATACACTGATGGACTGGAGCCATGCACAGTCTCACTAATGCAAGGAAAACGGCAGATAGCAGCTGAGGGCCTTTGGATGATTCCTTTAGACACAACAGTCCTCTCTAAGATCCATAATTAACAAACCTTCGATAAAAGAAAAGCCATGTAGTGTGGAAGTAGGTCAACAACAGAGCATGAGTACATGCAATTCAGTAGACAGTCCAAGCATAAACCGTGGTTTCCTTCAGAAAACAAGACACACTGATAAATAAGTAAGGGAAACGTAATAAGATGTTCAGACCTGACCTGGGCTTAGTGAACATTCCTGAGCACTGAACAGTGATAACCAGTAACATTTGCTAAACAAAAACAAGTAAGGGAGCATTTTTATCTTTTCTACAAGCGCTCACAGGACCTGCTTGGATACATTGTTCTTTTTCAACCTGAAGCAGATGTAGTAATTAAATAAGAAACTACAAACAGGAAATAATGCACTTCTATAAACCACACAGTACACCTGTAAATAATGAACCGATTGAGAGAAGTAACACTACCACACAAATTCTGCTTTGCAGTTCAGTTTCATGGAACAGGAAAGAAAGAAGATAATGCAGTCCTTGGAGGATGCCATTAGAAGCAGCTATGAAGGTGGTGCACTTTCCAAAAATAAGTATTTGAGATTAAGATTAAAAAAAAAAAAAAACCAAACACAAAAATTCAGCCTTCTCATATTATTCATCCCCTGATTTTATTACTGTATAAGTCTGATAACAGTAGCTTATCAATACATTAGGAAAATTTAGTATTTTAATCTGTTACTATTTGGTTATCTAAAACATACTTATCAGCACAAACACACATTGCTGAGGAGTTCCTTCCAGTCACACCATAAAATTGCTGACTTCTTCCCCCTCTCTTTACAATATAAAATCATTACCTACACTTGACGACCACTTATGGTTTCCCTGTGCAGCTCTCTTCTGAAGTTATTTCTACCAGAGACAGGAGTTTCCATAGGGAAAATGGAATGACTGCATACTAGCAGAAAATATTGTATATGCTTTTTAAGTATAACACATTCAGCAAATATTTTGTAGTTGAAGTATATAAGGATTCCTTAATTAATAGCTATCTTTAATGACAATTAAAATGGTATTGATATTAAAGTCACTACTAGGTTGCTACAGAAAAACTACTCAAAGATTTTCTACCTACAGAGTCAGTCCCTTTACTATGGCTTTGCCTAAAGTGATTTTCTTTTCTTTTTGCTTTCCTGCTCAGTGAGCCTGAGAATCATTTTTAGGGAAGTGCAATGAAATGCATTAAACACAGGATCTTCCTAGCTGCTGTCCTCCAGTTACAGAGCAAATAGTGCAGAACAGTAGAAGAGCAGAGCAAAACCCAAGCCCTTGAGGAATTCTCTCCCTCATTAATAATTGCTGAGGAGTAAGAGAAACTCATTGCTCTTGCATTACATCCCATATACAGTGATCAATTTTACTCCTAGAAGGAAGCATAGCTATCACTTTTAAAAGTAAGGTGTGTAAATACAATGCATCTCAAGTATCCTACATGCATACAATCCCTGAAAACAAAAGCAAAACTGGGTTCTGTTATCTTTTCTGGCTTAGTTTTTCACACAGTCTCCACAGCAGAAGTAGCGTGCTGTGTCAGTTTGTCAAGTAGCCTTCAAGTATACCTTGAAAGTGTCAGCTTCTGATTCTAAGGCACTCAAACCAAATCCATGTGCAAAATGTATCAACAAACAGAAATTCCCCCAAGAAAAATGAATGTTACTCAATGTTATTTTAACTGAATTGGTTTCATATAGCACAAGCATCTTTTGATTTTTCATTCTTACAGAACTTCACCTATTTAGAAAACCTGTAAAATTTACAAAGTGTCCAACCTTACTACAGTTGCATATGCAATTTGGGTAAACACAGACTCTCAATTTCAGAAGGCTTTGGGAAGTACGAGTGTTCCCTCTTAAACCAGTCTCCATCTCTTGATCAGGGAATGTTATATATGAAAAACTAAAATTGCCCCAGCAAAGCTTAGGAACTGAAGGGTTAGCAAATCTAGGATTCTTGCAGTAACGATAACTTAATTTGTACTTAATTTCCCTGAATGCAATTTAATGTTAAGTAGTTTGGGTAGCTATGCACTTAAAAAAATTAACAGAAAGCTTCATTCCATTCATTCATAAAAAAAAGGCAATGAAAACTTGGTTTTAATAGAAACCAGTAGTAGCAACAACATATAATTAGATGCTGAAACAGGATGCTTAACCACAGCGGGTTAAATTAATCTTCAAATATCATTTAACCGAAGTAAATAGAGTTACACCAAAGGTGGCTTTTAGACATGAGTAGGTTTAAACTAATCATTACAGTTAGACAGGTTTCACCTAGAAAGCAGCGCCAGTGGCCTTGGGATTTTTAAGCTGCCTCCTACTGAAGCACTGTGCGAGTATCATCTATTATAATCAAGCAGGCATCTTTCTCAAAATCTAATTTCTGCTTTTTCAGGGTACAGTGAGCTTTTCATGTCTCATTTTTCATGGTATCTATGTTAGTACAATGCCCAATTTGCAAAGAGTAAATGCCATAGCAAACAACAGTAATAACGGAGGAGTCATTTCTATTACCTGCCGCGAGAGCCACCGCCGTGGCCTGCTGGTTGGCGGCACACAGCACCTGGACGCCCAAGGCGAGGTGCGGGCAGAGCCGCCGCACCGCTGCGCCCACCGCCGTCATGGCGGCCGTCACCTCAGGCCCAGGGCACAGCGTGTAGGGCCGGTCGTGCATGTTCTCCACTATCAAGCCATCCTGCGGAGATCAGAATAAGTTCACTGTTGTGCTAAGTTTTGTGTTGAAAGAGACAGAAGTTTAAAGGTTTTCCTTCAAAGGGTGGATTATCTCCAGTAAATTGTGTCGATGCATATAGCCACTTATAAGAGTGCTTTCATCAACAGCACGGCATTTGCAGAGAAATCAGGAAGAGAAATAAATGTGATTTTAATTATACATTCATCAATTAGTTTCCCTTTGATCCATCCTAGGACGTGAACTATAGGCGAATGAGTTAAATCTTACACCTCATTAAAAGTACTGTAGAGTCAAACTTCAATTACCCAAATGGAATATGGGATATTGAGTATGTTTGGATAACTGATGATGTAGAGATAATCAAGGCAATTTTCAATTTGAATTAATGTCAGAAAATAAGCATTATTTTAGAAAACTAAAGGAGTTTTGTTTGTTTGTTTGCCTATTAACATGCCTGTTCCCAGGGTGACATATTTCTCCCCATTCCAAATTCAGACTGCTTTGAAGAAAGCTATTGCTATTTATTATCAACTATACCTCTCCCTCCACAAGAACATACATTTAGCAAACAATGGAGTGACAATGAAATACTCTACTGATAGACTACTGATAGACTTGATGCAGCTTATTGAAAATCTTTGTACATCATCTGATGCCTTGGACATTTTCAATGGTGATATGGTATACACTAGAACTTTTCAACAATTGCAAATCATATTTTGTTGAGGACTAATACAATATTAGTTGAGGACTAATACAAAAGTAGAAGTACAGCCCTGAAACATATTTCAAGCCTGACATTTTGCATTTGCAGTGAGAACTTTCCATGAGGCTAGACATTTCTCACCTGTTTCAATTGAAAAATACAAAAGGGCTATAAGACAAATTAATTGTATGTAAAGAAAACAAATTCTATTCTCTCTCTATTTCAAATACACATCAAAATCCTTAAAATGAGAGCTGTGTATTTCAAAGGCATTCTAACATTCAGAATAGAAAGAACATTTTAAAAGAAATTAGAAGAAATTAAATACAAGGAGATGAATTTTTTTTTTAAGCAGGTTATCAATAACAGAGAATCAGGAAGATGGGGAGAAAAAGGTTTTCTTTAAAAAAATCGTAGATGAAATGCTCCTTTGAGCTTTGTTGTAGTACAGATGCTCTTTTGAGCATCTTTCCTTTTGAAAGTATACAAAAAGCAGTCAGCATTTAATGGTCGAATTACATGCTAAGCCACAGGCTTCATAAATGAACCCCTAACATGGAAGATGGGGGAGAGGAAACAGACTGTCAGTAATCTGTTAGAAGAGTATGGCCAATCCAGTTACATGAGGAATGCACATTGGGTGTACCTGTGTACAACTGCCTTCACCAAATAACCAGTAGATAAGCACTTAAATACACAAAATACGTGCTATCTTAAAAACAGATGGACACAATTTATCAATTTATTAATGGGAAATGTGATCTAACATTATGAGCACCTAACATGAGAGCTACATACTATTTCATGCCACTCAGCAGCACATATTAATATAGAATTCCAGTCCAAGAAACCTCAACTGGGCAGAGGATATTAGATAGAGGAGCCCCAGGCCTCCTGGCAGGGCAGAAGCAGTCCTGACAAGAACACAGCTCCTGGAAAAGGTCATGGGGTGCTCCTGACCAAGCAGGGAACACAGTGGCAGAATCCCATGGCAGCATCACAGTGACACTGAGCTTTCCATGAATTGTTGCTGATTCAACAGCTCAGTATTTGCATAAAGCAAATTATTCCATTATATTAAAAAATATAATTATTTTAAAAGTAATTAGGGACTCTAGCCATATTACTGTACGTAAGACAAGTATCTGATTGAATTCCTGTTCAACGTGCAGGATTTCAGCATTTTTCTCTTCAACCTTATATTTATTCACTTTTCAGTAGCTCTCTTTTCATAGCCTCAAGGTCCACAGTTCCTGTGACTATTTTTGGTATTACTTTAATAATGTGTTATTATTTAGTACCATCTAATAGACCTTGTTCCTTTGCACATTATGTTTTGTTTAATTAAAAAAAAAAAAAGAACAACATATGTTCTGTAATACAGAGAGCTGAATTACAGATGCATTAACTCAAAGCCTTCTTTCATATTTTTGTATAAAAATGTAACACCACAGATTTCTGTGTTTACTGAATTTATATGTATATAAAACAGACTTCAGTACTATCAGACAGCTAATTAAAATGGTGGAAAGAAAACAGTGATGCTGGATTCAAGATCTTGGCACTTAAGCTAATAGTGTATAAGTCTAGGAGAAGAGCAACCGAACTACATGCTCCAAAGTGGAATCACCTTGGAAAGTGTGAGATAAGGCACCAGCAAAACCTTCTGGGTTTCTTTTCCATTGATTATCAGAACACTTGAAGTGATGCTTTTATATAAAATAGCCTTACTTTTAACAGTCCTCAAACACTATAGAAGTGAAAAGATAATAGACTGCTATCTGTCTGTAAAGCATCCCTTGTAACACAGCTAACTATTGGAAAATAAGTATTTTAAATAGCCCCCTGTCTATATAGAAAAACTATTTATGTACATATGTATGGGAACTGTTGAGTCAGGGCCTGAATCACTGATTGAGCACCTGGAGACAAAACCCTGTCAGCCCCCGGGAGCACAAGTGAAGGCAATTCAGCTGTGTGTCTGGAAGGGGTGGAGCCTGGCTGCAAATCTCTTAGACCTCATTTAAGGACTGATTGCCACTGGGGGAAGATTTCTGGTTGGAGATTCCTGCTCTGTGGTGTTCATGCTACACGCCTAGATCCTCAAAGGCAGGTGAGCACTTCTTTCTTCTGTAGCACTGCACTGGTCCTTTGCTGCTACATCTTTACAACGTCTTCCAATCGTGCTGGTCCTTCTGCTGTTATGTTTGGCAAGCCAGACAAATTAAAATATTTAAATAGCTTTTCTACTGAATATCTTTAAGTGAATTAAGGGGGAAAATTCTGCCCCTTTAGATAGAACTCTGCCAGGGCATATTCCAGGATTTTTAGGATCTGTATATAATGGACTTCCAACTTCCACTGAAAAATGGAGTCCCTTGTGGGATAGTGGGAGTATCTTTCAATTCCCATCCTGCATTGCAAAATATTTCTATGACTTAGGCCAAGACATCCTTGTCAGGAAACAGTGAAGCAGGTATATACCATCAAGGCACTCATTGAGTTGATGGCTGCCTACAGGACATCTCAAGTCATCAAGAGTGACCAAGGAACTCATTTTTCTGGTACAACATTACAATGCTGGACAGAAGAAAACACTGAGTGGAGATTCCCTCTGCCATGTACTCTGATGGGGGCAGGCCTTATTGAACACCATAATGGTATTCTTAAGACTACCCTGAAGACAGACTCTCCACTCTTGCAGGGGTGGCCAAAGAGACTCTATGAAACCCTGCAGACCTGAATGACAGGCTTAATGATGGCAGACCTGGTGCCCTACAGATGCTACAGACAACACGGGCCTCCCAAGTACAGGCACCGATAGTTGGGTAAGACCCCAAATTGGCAGTGAAAATAATCTTCTGCTCCCTATCCCTGAGAACCTAGAAACTAATACCTGTAAAATAGAATGACCTTGGAAGCTGCAAGTGGGATCAAAATGGTGCGGTGTACTCTCACCCTGGGGGAGATTATTGGACACTGGGGGATTGGTAGTCCCCCCTGGTAATAGGTACGTGGCCTGCAGACATTATAGTTAACACTCTGGTTTTCATTGCTAAAGGGACCTTAATCATGTCCCTGTGGCAAATCCAGACTTCCCCTTTGGAACCTGATATAGGTATGCAGCCCCAGATATTGGGCCAAAGGGTGTGGTACAGACTGCTGGGATGTGACCTGGTACAAGCCATAGTGTTGACCCAGGACAGGAACATGTCCTGTATCTTGCCATGAAAGGTGGACTCTCCCCTTCTGGTAACTTGAAAACATCTATACTACTCTCCACGAGTCCACAGGATCACCAGAAGAGCAACGTGACGTGAAGATGCTCTGGTGTCACTGTAAGATCAGCAAGACACGTGGTGGTGGACTACATGGGGCTGATGGAACATGAGCCAAACCTTTCCTGGTCCAAGCTGCTGCATGCCTCTAGTGAACCCATTGAGCACTGGCCCATGAAAGAACATGAACTTTAACCACAAACTGATCAATCATCTTACATTGTATCAACCTGCATCATGATGGGCAATTGTATGAGTGCTGTGGTGTGCTGGATTCTTGTATTAGGGAAGGCTCACCCTCCAGCTGACCCAGTCATTGGTTCATGCTGTGAAGGGGTGGTGTGTATAGTAACTGTTGTATCATAGTCTGAACCACCAATTGAGCACCTGGAGACAAGACCCGTCAGCCTTGGGAGCACAGGTGAAGGCAATTCAGTTGTGTGACTGGAAGGAGTGGAGCTTGGCTGCACATCTCTTAGGCCTCAAAGAAGGGCTCATTGCCACTGGGGAAGGATCTCTTGATGGAGATCCCTCCTTTGTGGAGTTCCTACTGTGAACCTAGATACTAGGAGACAGGTGAGGACTCTTCTTTCTTTTGTAACATCTTCCCACCTTGTTATGTTGTTACAATAAATAATATATATTATATAAAATAGAAAAGCTATCTTCTTTATTCTATCTACAGAAGTGATCACTGAAAACACCTTGACCTCCTATCTGATATAACTTCTTGCTATGGTAACTTTAACCCTGATGCTTTGCATAAGAGAGGCTTTACAAACCACAGCTGCTTGTGTGTTACTATAATTTTTGCAAGTGCAAAACAACTGCTTCTTCCTACAGAAAGAGAGGCTTTTTGCATCATGCTCATTGCTAGATAAACTTGGTGTGCACTGAGAACAGTTCCTCTCACCACCAGAGTCACATACCTCTCTATATGAAGGAAATCAGCTTTGTAAAGCATTTATTTGCTGTACCTAGACAATCGCTATGAAAACTTCACTTCTAGAACAAGAGATTGCTACTTCAACTTAGGTAAGTAGGCATCTTTTCTTCTGTATAAATAACAAAGAGATGTTTGTGATGAGGCTTGCTTGCTATTTTACTCTACTGTAATAGAGCTAACACTTGAACCTCTGTAATCCAAATGGTAGCATGTCTCTATAGCAGAAATGATAGCTTATTTCAACTGCTATTAAATACCAAGTAGCTTTAACTTCATTCCTCTTATAATTAAAGTGGTAGTTTGGCTTGGAACTGCTCACTTCTTAAAAGCTTACTACAGAGCAGATACTGAGCATCACCTCAGAAGAAGAATCAGGAGGATCTCCAGGAGATGATACTAGAAAAAAAGAAGCAAGCCTACTAGTTTGCCTACTAAAAAGCTTGTAATATTTGAAATGCAGTGCAACATTATGTAAATAATGTAATTCTTAAAGAAAAAACACAACTCATCATTGTCATCTACTTATGTAGTTACAATTAAATAGCATGTAGTAAGGTGAGTTACATCTGTGAAACTGGAAGGAACTTGTGCTGTTTTCCAGCTCCAAAGCAAGATCTACTTAGGTTCACCTGCAGGAGTGAAAGTTAACTTCACTGCACATTTTTCAAGTGCTTTTTGCTTAAACAAAAGCAGATAAAAATTGGAAGGACTGCGATGCTGCATAGATTGCTGCTTACAAAAATCTTGCCTAGGGAATGTCATTGTTTAGCAACACAAGTACAAAGCATATACGTTTTTAGCACAGATGGTTTCCTAGCTGAGCTCTCGCTTGTTTTCATTACTGTGCTCTAATACCACAAATCTTTCATGTTTATTATGTTCAGCTGCTAATATGCCAGCCCAGTCACCTTTTTCCTGAACAAACTAGGATTTACTTCCAAGTGCAATGCATACTGAGTGAGCAAGCCTATACAGTATATTTCCAAATGTTAATGCCAGCTCAAGCAACTTGAGGCAACATGCGAACATCTAGCAGCAGCAACACAGTTATGAATCTTCCTGAGGCTACCACAGGTGCTTAGAAATAATGCCAGTAGAAACATCCACAGAAAAAAAAACCTCAGATTTCTACTTCTGTGGAAAAAAATGGACAGTTTAACAGTTCAGCCTGAGTAGTAGGAGGGAAATCAGATACTCCCATTGCAGAACCAGGAAAGCTAGTCTGGAATAGAGGTGATCTGTATGTAGAAACCACAAAGCTCTTCAGTACCTACTGTGAAAATTCACGCTTCTCTTAAAGTGCTGGGAAAAACTAGACAAATGAATTAAAGAAAATGTTTGGCAACCACAGTGATATTTGTGGAAGCTCTCCTGTTTATCTTGACCTTTATGGTATTAACAAAGGATTTATTTTTCCTATTGATGTAACACTATCATGTATGGATCTTTAGAATGAAGACTGGTTTGACCTGTATGCTTATGTCATTACAGTTTAGAGAGGCAATGCAGTTAAACCCTGAATTTGTTCAAATTAGTAGAGAAATTTGCAACCTCATCTGCCTACCTGAGAGGTGGCTTTAAAAATATGAGCTGAGTAACTGCGACACAGCAAGAGAAGAGGTGAACCTGGAAGAGTGAATTTATACAACTGTTGAGAAGACAGTAAGGTATAAAATCCAAATTAGAATTTTGTGGTAGCACTGATTTTAAAGTTTGTCTTGAGACCTTGTCCATGTCAGCAGTGAAAGTAATCACTTCTATCCTCTCCCTCACCTTTAGGTATACTCAGTGTTTCCTCTCTGCTGCTAAGGTAGCGGTGTATGGCCAGTATATAAGGGAAATCAATAAACAAGTACTATGGGCAATAAACAAGGAATATGGCAATGGCTCTAGGGCTACACATCACCTGTGTAACCACTTCCACACAGGAAGACTAGTCCTTGCTGTTCTTCTGATATAGAGCAAATCACATTCAACCTCATGTTGATGTTATGAAGGCATGTACCAGTACAGAATGCAGAGCAATTGCACTCTTCCCTTCAACAGGTATGAAAAGGGAGAAAACACTTATTCTGTACAGCTTGCAGTTAAGACTATTCTTGCACATTCTCAGCTTGTTCAGTGGCACTGGATCCAATCAATGAGCTCTGTTTTTCTGCACTGCTGTTTACCCTTTCAACAACTGTTCCCAGGGCTTTCCCAACTTAGTGGTTTTCCTAACCACTGCTCTGTCCACACCCTCCATCATGTGACTTGTCTTGCATTTTGAACTTGGTCTTCTATAATTTAGACTAAGCTCTTAGGTTCCATTTCATTCTGTGTGTAAAGTATCATTGTAATTTATGCTGCTGGAGTATAACCCAGTAGAAACCTACTTGAAGTTTAGCAGAAAATCGCAGCTCAGAGCTGCAGTGGCAGTTCAGCAGTAGCCTTCTCTTGCCTCTGGCTGAGAATGTTCAAAGCAGGCATGGCTGCTCCCACAGCCTAGGGCCCAACGATTACAGTGGGCAGAAAAGGACCTAAAATAATTTTTTGGCCCTGAAATAATGCTACTGTGGTACAAACACAAACTATAGGGGAATCCTGCAGTCTGTAAGCAAGCAGTGTCTATGCCTGTGCCATAACTTCATGAAAGCAGTGTGCCAAGCAGAGCTAAGGAAAGCAGCTTGTCAGACTAGATGATGAAGCATCCTACATTCAGATACCAAGAATGCCAGCAACGGTTCATATTGCTGTCAGCTTTCCATCTGTTTTGTTGTTGTTGACTTGCTTCTTGGAAATTGATAGCAATCCTATTTAAACAACTCAAATTGCACAGTTTGAATCTAAGCTTTTCCAGTTCTGGAGAGTGTGTGTGATGTTTAGCTCAGGTTTTGAAACTTTGAGGGCCTATCTGTATTGAAATAAAAAATGCAGGCTTAAATGTCTTCCCAAACTCAGTGGTTTCAAGTGCTTCTCAGGAATTCTAGGTCACTCAGACTCAGTTCAAACCACTGGGTACGCAGAAGCAGCTTTGTGTCAATACTGCCATGGGAAGAAGGAAACCAGGACTTACAACTCCAGCGTCTTTGTATGCTTCTGCTTCTTGACAAGCTTGATCGATGATTTGTGCCAATGGAAGAGAGCTTCTTGGTGTCCCTGCAACAATAGTGCCATTTACCCCAGCGCAAAGGCAAACCATACAGATGGTAACGGTTTTCTGGTAAGACAGCTATAGGCACTGGCACAATAAAATAGGGAGAAAGAGGGCAAAATAGCTAAAAAGCTGCTGCACCTCCTTGAGACGCGCCCCAGCGGCACCTCTTCTCTTTGCTGAACTTTACAGGTCAGCTGTGACTGAAGTCATTCACAGACTCGAGGGATATCTCTGCGATGTCGTACCGGGCCAGTTTTCAGCTCCGGGGACAACACAGCCCCGGCTCAGCGGAGCGCCATCCGGCCGCAGTGCCGCAGGGAGCCACGTGTCCGAGCTCCCGCAGTCGCGGGGCCCGCGCGGCTCCGCCCAGCTCGGCAGCCCTCGGCCCGCTCAGCGCTTCCCCAGCGGCGCGGGGCCCTCACGGCGCCCGGATCTCCTCCGCACGAGCCCCGCAGCCGGGCCGCACGACCGGGTCCCGCGGCGCCGCACCTCGCCCGGCCCGCGCTCACCTGGCAGCGCGCCCACGTGCACCACGCCGAGCACCGCCGCCCGCAGCCGCCCGAAGAGCCGCGGCCGCGCCATGGCGGACCGTGACGGCGGGCCCGCCCCCTGACCTCCCGCGGGGCCGCGCCGGGGCCGCGCCGCTCTCCTTCCCGCTCCCGTCGGCGCGCCGCTCACCTCGCTTCACCCCTCCGCCGCGGGGTCGCGCCCGGGGCCGCCCGCTCCCCTCCCACCCCCCCCTCCCGCGCCGCTCCGCTTCC